TCTTTCTTTCTTTCTTCCTTCCTTCCTTCCTTCCTTCCTTTCTTTCTTTCTTTCTTTTTCTCTTTCTTCTTTCTCTTTCTTTTTTTCTTTCTTTCTCTCCTTCCTTCCTCCTTCCTTCCTTCCTTCCTTCCTTCCTTTCTTTCTTTCTTTCTTTTTCTCTTTCTTCTTTTTTCTTTTTTTCTTTCTTTCTTTCTCTCCTTCCTTCCTTCCTCCTTCCTTCCTTCCTTTTTTCCTTCCTTCCTTCCTTCCTTCCTTCCTTCCTTCCTTTCTTTCTTTCTTCCTTCCTTCCTTCCTTCCTTTCTTTCTTTCTTTCTTTCTTTCTTTCTTTCTTTCTTTCTTTCTTTCTTTCTTTCTTTTCTTTCTTTCCCAGAGCCCAACTGAATTGAGAGAGCCTCTTGCAGTGAGCTAACATTTTAGTTTCTTTTCCCAAATTCGAGTCACATCATGCCAGTGCAGAGCACAGTGTGAAGGGGCAGAACCTGACCTAAGTTCAAGTCTGAATCTACACCTTATTCACTGGCCTATTTTGGGGAAGTTACTGATCCCTGACTCTTCCTGTGAAAAGCAAGGATGATGGGCGCTGTGATTCTTGTATGGTGTTTGTAAGGAGGCCCAGTGTTCCATTAGGGCCCAGGGTTAGTGAGTGCAGCGATACACCAAGAGAAAGTATTCAGGCAGCTTCCCCCCAGGTTGCCAGGAGCCCCCAGAGGAGGCTGCTATAGCTTGTATTGCTCTGGCAGACTAGTGGATGGCAGGGATTGGATCTCGTGCCTCTGGTGTCTCAGGACCATGATGAAGCCTGTGGAAAATGGTGGGGAAGCTGAACCCCCCGAGATCTAGGTTAAATTACATAGATCTAAGACTGGGGGGGCTTCTGGAGTAGGGAGAGGTAAGGAAGAATTCAACCGGCAGGATTATCAGTCATGACTCACGTGATATACAGTGACCCTGGGGACCCTGTAAAGAAACCAACACAGCCTCTGTGTGTGTGTGTGTGTGTGTATGTGTCTCAGATGGTAGGATGTCTGCCTAATGCACGAAGCCATGGTTTGGTCCCGGGCACGACAGAAAACAGGCATGGTGGCAAGCACTTGTAATCCCGTTACTCAGGAGGCAAAAAGATCAGAAGTTCAAAGGCCAACCTGGGCTATGCGGGAACCTTTAAAAAAAAAAAAAAAAACAGCATTCTTCTAAAACAATCAAAACACAACAACACACACACAAAAAAGAAAACACCCCACACCCCAACCTGGAAAGAACTCTGGCAGAAAAGCCCTGTTTCATGCCAAGTGCGGACAGGGGATTGGAGCACACTGCTGGTGGGCATTTCACTGATGATATTGCCTGATAACAGTTCTAGCTAACCCGATCAGTAATGTCCGGCTATTGAGGGCTTTGGAAACGCCAGCACCACCATTGAAGCCTGATGTGCGTTATCTCACAGAATTCTGCGAACAGAGGAGAGTGAACTTGCCTTTTATGGAAGAGGCAAGAGAGGCTCAGAGATGTTAGTATCTTGCCTAAGGCACCTCAGAGGGGGGGCCAGAACGTTACTTTCAAAGACATGGCCTGATAACAAGGGTCTTCAACCCTCCACCTCCACCCCCTAACTGTGGTAACTGCGGCTCCCTCACCTGGGATGGGGATGAAGACAGGTTCAGACCTGAGGCTCAAGGGCAACACAAGGCCTCCTCCAGGGATTGGACTCCTACAGGATGCAGACAACTTTGGTCGCCGGCTCGGAAGCATGTGACCCCAGGGGACAATGGGGCATCATAAGGCTGGAGGGGTAGCTCGCCGCTTCAGGGCTTGTACACAGGGGTGACCTCATCTGGCTTTCCTACGCTGGCCTCAGCCTCCGCTCCTGCCCCTGATTTCTGCTCTTTCAATGCTGTAGCTCTTTCAGTGCTTTTTGGTGCCCACCCTGTGAGGACTGGAGAAGAGCAGAGCCGCTCAGCTGCTGCTGGAAGGAGCCTCGTTCCCTGTGTTGCTCTTAGGTGGATGGCAAGGCACAGCCTAGCGTAGGGGGTAAGAAGTGGGCACTTGCTGCTGGGACCTCATCAGGGAAAGCCCATAATAAGGACTCTCCCTGACAGGGAGTGTAGGTAAAGGGGTTCAACAGAGACACAGCATAGGGCACTGGGCCCACTCGGGTTCTGTTAAGTGCTAGTCCTCACCACAGAGGATAGCAGCAGGTCACACATCCCTACCCCAGAACCGCCTTCCTGACCACCCTGCTGAAGGCAGGACTCCCATCCCCCCCCCCCCTTAACAGCACTGGTGTTTCTTGAACACACTCTGTGATTATACTGTACATGTGTTTACTTGTCCCGGGGAGCAAGGGACGCATCTTCTCCTCTGCCCAATCCTTAGCACCACCAACAAGAACACAGTCAGTGGTGAATGTCTCCTTCCCCATGTCCCTCAGGCAGAACAAGCCTTTTTTTTTTTTTCCCCAGAGGATATGACTTTCAGAGCCCACAGTCCTGCCTCACCCCTGGGGTTTACTGCAGTAGGGAAAGGCTTGGTATGGGGCTGTGTGGGCCTTTTGCTCACCTATGTGGCCAGGGCTCTCAGTGGATGAAGGGGTCATTACAAGACAATGTCCACCCCTCACCATCTGCAGACGAACAGCCTTGGTCCCATTCTCCACCCTGAATGGCTCCATCTCACCTGTTCCTTGTTTGGGGGACAGGGGTCCTGGGGGTTCTCTCTGCTTCCCAATTTCTTACAGCCCCACTTCCCAGGTCTTCCCAGCATCCTGCTCTGCTGAGACCAGAACACACAGGGCATGGCAGATGTGTTGGGTGGGCGGGGTGGGGGGGGAGGCACTCTGTGAATCCAGATGTGATTTTTTTTTTTTTTGTTTATGTTTCCAGAATGAGAGACTGAGCTGGGGACAGTTGCTGCTGGGGGGAGGGGTTTGTCAGGCTGAAGCCCCCTGCCCCAGACGTCTCTCTCCTACCATTCTCCCTGCAGCTTGCGCATCTGGGCCTGGCTACAGCAGAAGCCTAAGCTGCAAGTCCCACAGCTTCGGACTAACCTGTCTTCCAGGGGGTTGGGGGGGGCTCTCCATGGTTCATCTGAAGGTGAGATCAGTGCAAAGGCCTGGCCTTGGAATCTCAAGGCCTGTTTGCTTGGCGTGACCCTGGCCCAGTTACAGACTCCTAGAGCCTGGGTTCCGCACGCAGAAGAGCCAGGTTGGCGGTGACCTGCTTCGGAGACAGCTCTTCCTTCGTGACTAATCCGTGCCCATCCCAGCCAGGGCTTGCCTGCGTCCAGCTCCAGGGCAGTGCCAATCTCCACCACAAGGTGATACTGAAGCAGAGCCCCAGCCCCTCCTTCCTCCCCCGCAGCAGCTGCAAACATTTTGTTTTGCCATTAGAACTGACTTACTTACGGGAAGCAGAATTTTACAGGCAGTTTACAGGCTGGTCTTGTTCAGTAGTTTCCAAAAGCCGGGGGTGGGGGGCAGAGGCGGCCAGTGGCCTCCACAGATAGAAGTGAGAAGTGAGTCCTGGGTGAGGGACACTTTCTCTGCACAGTCGCATGTTCCCGGGTGGAGGCTAGTAAGTAGCTGGGGCGCTACGACAGGCAGAGGCAGGGTCTGGCTGGACTCTGGGACATGCAGGGCCCAGAGCTGGCTCCAAGGGGCATGAGGGGATGGGGCCACGGGAGAACCGAGAGCTCCACCCTAAATGGTTCTCAGAGAGTGCACCTCGTTTGTGTCACGACACCCTGGGAATCTGAGGACCAGGCAGGTAGGCCTGCGGAGTCCGGTGCCCAGGGAGCCGAGGGGTCTCCACCAGGCCCATCACCGCTGAGAGGCGAAGCAGGTCAGGAACGGGAGTGGGGAACCCTGTCCCGACTAGCCCGGGTCTTCCTTCCCATCCCCAGGGTCAGGGAGGCGTAGCCGCCGCCGCCGCCGTGTTGGCAGTTGAATGAAGCAGCCGGGGCTCAGTGGTGCTTAGCACGCTCGGACTATGTTTTTAATAGACGTAACATGGACAAGTCGATATAGACAGATTTATAATTCTATACAGTCAGTCCGACACACATAGGGACGCTGTAAACGGGCGCGGGCCAGAGAGCGGGTGTGCAAAGTGGGTGGGTGGGGGGCCCTGGGGCTGCGGCCCCCGCGCTCTCCTGGCTCGACTGTTGCACGGGCGGGCGGTGAGGAGGGGGCTGTTCGCCGGGACCGAGGGCCACCTCCTGGACCCGGAGTGGAGCAGAGGGCCGGGCTGGCGGCTAGGCCCGGGGCTGGGGAACTCAGAGCTGAGCCCTCAGTCCCCTCCTGCGGCCGACTGGCCGCGGCCATCCGCGGCTCGGTGGCCCGAAGTGTGTGGCTCCGGGGCGCGGGGCTGCCGGGCGATTCCTGGCATCCCCGGGGCAGGGCTAACCCAGCACCAAGGCCGGATCCCTGGCGGACGCTGGCCTCCCCAGGCAGGCGCGCGCTCGCTCCCACAGCCATCTGTGCTCGGCCGGGCCGGCTCGGAGAGGGCGCCTCGGTTCTAGGACCGGGTGGGCCATCCCAGGCCCTCGGGGCTCCCTCGGTTCAGTTCCCGGGACGCGGGCGGCCGGGGGGGGGGGGAATGTCTTCTCCCTGCCGCATCCCCTCGGCGGAGCGGACCGCTGGGGTCCCGCGGGGCCAAACCTCACCGACCCGCGCCAGCCAGCGCCCGGGAAACTGCCGCTCACCCCCCGCCGCCAGCATCCGTTTCCCTCCGCCATCTCTTCTGCTTTCTTCCCATCCCTCCCTCGGCTTTCTTGGCATTTTTTTTTGGGGGGGGGTTGGTGGTGGTAGGGTGGGGGGTGGGGAGGGAGGGCACAGAGTGGGGTCCGGAAAAGCAGACGCGAAACCGACCTGGAGGCGGGGCGGGGTGGCAGGGGCCCCCGCGCGGAGGCGAGGTCCGCGCGTCCCCCCCCAACCCCCAACCCCGCGCGCTCCCCCCTGCGCCTCGCCGGCCCGGGCGGCCCCCCGGGGGACCCCGGCGGGGCGGTCAGCTGTTGTACTGGCAGGCGTTGAGGCCCGAGGCCGGGCCCTGCAGGCCGCCATAGCCGAAGGACGAGTGCTGCTTGGACTTGAGCCGCAGGCTGGCGAGGCTCGAGTTGCACGTGTCCCGGTAGACGCTGTAGGGCGAGGCGGGGGTGCCGTAGGGGCAGGCGCCCGGCGACATGGCCGAGTTGAGCGAGGAGCCGGTGAGGTTGTTGATGTTGTTGAGGCCCGAGTTGGGCATGCCGGGCACGGCGCCCGGGCCCATGCTGGACGGCATGGTCATGGAGGAGATGGAGCTGGGGGCCGAGAACATGGACTGGGAGGACAGCGGGCTCATGGAGTTGAAGAAGGGGAAGCTCTTGGCGGACAGCGGCGCCGGCGCCAAGCTCTTGGCCGCCCAGTTGTTGTAGGAGTAGCCGGCCGCGTAAACGTCCTCGTAGGGCTGCACCAGGCCGCCGAACTGCGGCACGTAGCCGCCCTTGCACAGGTCCAACTGCTGGTTCCGCTCCCGCTTGCGCCACTTGGCTCGCCGGTTCTTGAACCAGACCTGCGGAGGCGAGCCGGACACACGTCAGGGCCGCGGGGTCCCGGAGGGGCCCTCTCCCCGGGGACACCTGAACCCCGCAGCCTCCTCCAAACACTCCGGCTTTCCTTCGGCCCTGCCAGTTTCCCCGCAGGATCCCTTTCCCGTCTCCACAAAACGGGAGCCCTCCCCTCTCTCCCGGCTTTTTCAATCCTCTTCCCCAAGGCAAATTTGTTTCCCTTTCCTGACTCGGGTTCTCTTTTGTTTGAACAAATATTCGTTTTTCCTTTTTCCTCTCTCCACCTGTCCTCTTTCTGCCTTCTCCCTCCAAACGGGCACCATCTCTCTTCTAAGGACTTCAGTCTTTTACTTCCCCCTCAAACACAAAAAGTATTTTTCTTTCTCGAAAACGACTGTCTCCGACTTTCAGACGACGTTCATTGTTCAAATATTTTGTTTTTTTTTCTATGTAATTACAATATCCAATAATTTTCTCCCGCCCAAAATAAATTTTTGTTCACTTCTGGACGAAACTTTAGTCTTTTTTTTTTTTTTAATTCTCGTCCTCATTTTTATTCTTTTCTAAATATTTAGTTTTTCCCTTCTTTCCAGGTATCTGACCTCCACTGTTTCTCTTAAATAGTCGATCCTTTTTTTTTTTTTTTTATAAATGCTCAGCCCCTTTGCTTCCCTTAAATATTTAATTTCTTTCCTGCTGCCTAAATATATTCCAAATACGCTTCTCTGCAAATATTTAATTTCCGTTAAGTTTACTAGTTTCTCTGTAATCTCCACCTCTGTTTTCTCCTAAAAAATTGGTAAGAACCACTTTTCTCTCCCTAACCGCGTCCTTCCCTACCTGTCTTCCCACCGCTAGTCCCCTGTATCCCGGCTTTTCCCAGGCCCAGATTCCATCCACCTAACCCCACCCCAGCCCTACTGCCATAAACCTGGGCTGGATTAGTGAGCTCAGAATCACTGAGTGCGGGTCTGCGGCCAGGGTCCCCCTGGGCCCCACCAACCTCACTGGGGAGGCCTGGGAGTCAGGTGAGGCTTTGGTCTGGCTCGAGAAGTGCTTCCAACGCCTGCCTGAATATTTGTCCGCCCAGGGAAGAAATGATTCCCTTACTTCTCGTGTAGGAAAGTGTGTTGGGAACTGTGGGACCCGCCAGAACACAGTGTGGCTTCGGGTCTGGAAACCTTACATCTGAAAGGGGGTAGTGGGAGGGCCCCTGGCTACCGGAGTCCCCCCTCCACATGACCCTGACGACACTGGGAAAGGGCACGGGCAAAGGTTCAGCTAGTGCCCGGCTGACTGGCCAGGGAAGGAGGAGGATACTCCGAGAACAGCTCGGAGAAGGTGAATTCGGAACGAGACCCCGGCTCCAAGGAGTCTGAGCCGTCCACACTCGAGCATCTTTCTCTCGGGCCTCTCTGGGGCGGTCAGGCACCGCTCGCCTTTCCCTTTCGTTTTCCAGGGGGTGAAGTTTAAGCTCCCGAGGTCCTTCGCGGCAGTCCCCGTGCTGACAGAGTTGCCCGAGGGGCAGGGAAGGGTCCCCCGACCGGGGCTGCCGTGGCTCCCGCGGGTCAGGTAAAGGGGCTCGCGAAGCGGCCGCCTGGGGGCCTAGCTGACGCGGGTGTGGGGGGGGGGCGCCAGCCGGTAGCCCCACGCTCACCCGCACTCGCGGCTCCGTGAGGTTGGTCCACACCGCGATCTCCTCTCTCATGCTCATGTCAGGGTAGCGGTTCCTCTGGAACGTGGCCTCCAGCTCCTGCAACTGCTGGCTGGTGAAGTGGGTGCGTTGCCGCCGCTGCTTCTTCTTCTTGGTCGGGTCCTCGGCGCCACCGCAGCCCGCGCCGCCCGCGCCACCGTCCTCGGGCCCCTTGGCTTCCCCGCCGCGCTCCTTGTCTGCAGCAGGTAGGAAAGGGCGCCGGTCACCCCGGGCTAACGCCACTGCCAGCGCTCCCGGTCCCGGCTCCACCGAAGCGCCTCCGCCAGCGGTGGCTGCCCTCCCTCCAGCCGGGGGGGGGGGGGGGGCCGGGAGCTGTCCCCCGCTGGGAAGGGCGGCCCGGGGACCCGTCCCCAGGAAGCACCCACGAGGTCGAGCGTGCCACGGAAAGGGGCCCGGGCGCCCCGGCCCGGCCTGGGTTCCCCGCTAGGCAGGGGCCTGCTTCTGCAGCCCGCGCTGGCCGAGGCCCTGGTGCTCCTGTCACCACCCAGAGCGCTCCGTGTTTGGAGGTCTTGCAGCTCTGAATCTGAGCGGAGGACCCCGTGCTTTTCTGAACGACTACCAGCACTTTCTAGCCGAAGCTAGCAGATCTAAGAGCCAGGCGGTAGCCTGAAACTCTGTTCTTGCCAGGGCTGTGTCAGAGCCGCCGATGAGCCGGGTTTCCAGCCTTAAGGGCCTACGGTCCCAAGGTCTAAAAAAAGAAAACCTCACCAATTGCAGCTTAGACAGACAGGTTCTGTCTAAGTGACCCGGGCCTCTCTGTCTCTTTAAAGGCACACAGGATGCACGCAGTCAATAACACTCAAACATAAGAAAACGGAGTTAAAAAGCAAAACAGAAGCCTAGGAAAGCTCAGAGCTCTCTACCTAAAAACCAGAAAGGTCCACAAACCCTCAGAGCTAGGCAGACAGAACCAGAGCAAATGTAAATCAAGAAGTTAAAACCGTTCTTGCAAACACACCCTTAAACTAAATACACAGCCAAATGTGTATAAGCTTCAGTCAGATAGGCATTTCTCAGGAAAAAAAAAAAATCCATGTATCACTGCAGATAAATTTTAGACTGCTTCACAGTAACACCCTGAGAGAGATACTTTTCAAACCCCAGAGAAATACATTACAGCTGGAAGATTTAAATCCACGAAACAAAACGGCCACAGACGGATTTTGAGGAAAAAAATTCTGAGAAACGCGCCATTTTGGATTGACTTTTAAAAATCTCTCCCAGTATCGTGTGGCATGTAGGTATTTTAGATTTCAGAGAAATACGCTAAGCGGATTGTTTCAAAGAAAGCAAAAAGCACACGGTTAAAATTGGTCTCAGTAGATGTGATTTGAAAATCAACCTACAGCTATAGTTCTTAAAAAAAAAAAACAAAAACAAAAAAACACATAACGCTTAAAACTTTTGAAAACAAAAGTACAGGCAAAGCTTTGTTTTCTACCCGAGCAAACAGCGGCTCGGGGGAAAGTCGCTTAGAGATGCAAAACAGAAACAAATACATATTAAACGCGTTGGAAGAGCCCAGGGCCGGGGACAGCGGGCAGCCAGAGTTCCCCCGGCCACTCCCGGGTAGGACCCCGCGCACGGGCCTGGGAACAGCCACGGCCGAAGCCTCCGGAGCCTGCCAATCGCGGGCCCAGCTTGCTCTTGCGAGGGAAAAAAAAGAAAAGGCAGCGCGGGGTTTGTGGAGTCGGGAACCCTGGCTGGACCCCGGCGGCTCCGAGCGGGGGAGTCCACGTGGGCCCCGTTGGCTCCGCCGGGAGTCAGGCCGCGCCTCCTGGCCGGCTGTCCCCGCTGTCCCCGGAGCTCCGCGCTGGTGACCCCTCTCTTGCAGGGTGTTCGGTGCCCCCAACCCTCCGTCAGGATCCTTCCCTGAGTCCGCGTCTCCCGGTCGGTCAAGGTGTGTGCCCCGCCGGTCCCTCCGGGCAATTGTCCCTCCTTCCCCGCCTTCCGCTCCTCACCCGCTGCTCGCCCTGCGCCCCAGCGGCTCCTCGGCGGCCAGCGAGGGACACCTCAACTTTCTTTCTTTCTTTTTTTTTTTTTTTCTTTTTCTCGCGCGTGCTATCTACTTCTGCTCCCAAGGGGCTGTGAGTCCCACTCCGGGACAGGCGCGCGGGGACGGCTCGCGAGCGGCGAGCGCGCGCGTGTAAATTTCCGCGTTCCCCGGCAGGTCGGGGCCGGGAGGGGAGACAGACAGCTCCGGGCCGCCGAGCCTCCGGGCGCGCGGCCGGGGCTGGGCGCACCCCGGGGTGGGGGCGCGGGGGCCGTGGGGGGCCGCGCTTACCTGGCAGATCCGTGTCGGAGGACTCGCTGGCGGAGTTCTCCAGCGGCTCCCGGGGGTCGGGGGCGCGGGCCAGGTGGAAGCTGGGCCCCATGTCGTGCGGCGGCGGGGGAGGTGGCCGCAGCCCCTCCGGCAGCCTCTCCAGGCTCATGCCTCCCTTGAAGGCGTCCATGGAGGCGGGGACCGCCGCGGGCGCTCCGGGGGCCGGGGCTGGGAGCGCCCGCTCGCCCGGGCTGCGACCTGTTGGGGGGGACAAGAGCGGCGGCGCCTAAGCGGCTGCCCCGCGGGGCCGCCCGCGCCCGCAGCCGCGCCGCCCGCGCTCCATCGGCCGCTCGGGGCTCCGGCCTCCGGCCAGGCGCTCCCGCCGCTCCGGCTGCAGCCTCCCGGCCGGGCCCTGGCCCCCGCTCCGGAGTCGAGGCCGGTTCCTAAGGCTCGGGACGCAGCCCCGCCGAGTCTGTCTGCAAACGACAGCGCGCGCCGCCAGGTTCCAGCAGTCCCTGCGCCAGGGGTGGTGGGTGGGGTGGGCCTCGGTGGGAGGGGGCTGGGAGAGAAGGAGGGAGGGTGCGAGCGGGCGAGCGGGCGAGCGAGCGAGCGAGCGCGGGCGGAATCCAGCCCCGAGCCGCCCGCGCCGCGCCCTCTCCGCCGCCCTCCCTCCTTTCCTCCCTCCCTCTCTCCCTCCCTCCCTCCCGGCCTCGCCCGCGCCCTCCCCCTCCGCGGCTACCTTCCCGCCGCTAACCCCCCCCACCCCCGCGGCCTCACCGCGCCTCTCTCTCTCCTTCCCCTGTGACACACCGACTTCTCCCTCGGCCGCACAAAAGAAACGCATCTGGCCGGCGAGTCCCGCGCGGCTGGTGCCCACCTAGGGGCCCCAGATGACTCGTTTCCCCGGGAGTCAGCTCCTGTCTGGGCTGCCTCGGAGTCCCCAGCCGCCGGCGAGAGCGGCCTGGGATGGGTGAAGGTTCGCCCGGGCAGGAGCGCTCTGAGCCCGCGCCTCCGAGCTACCGCCAGGGCGGGGGCCGAGCCAGGGGCCGGCTCCCGGGTCCCGCAGCTCCCAGCGGTGTCCCCGAGGGGCCGCGGGCCCCTCCTTGTCCAGTCTCTTCTCCCAGGAACTCGGGCTGGCTGAGCGGCAGCAGCCCGCGGGCTCTAATGGGCCCCCGATGCTGTCCTCTGATTAGTTCGGACGCTCTCCCCTAAGGCTGCTCTCAGGCCTTCCTCTCTGCACCGCAGTCAATTTTCCGGGATTGGGATAGAAATGATGGCTTCTAATCAGACGAAACGGCTCTGTTGGCTCTAGGCCGTGGTGAGTGGGGCCTGAGACCCCAGCTAGGCCGTCGCCTTTTCCACCTCCCCCTTTGTTTTGCTCTGCCAAGGATCAGGTCTTCGGGTAGGCCTTGCCAGCCTCTGCCCTTCTTTGGGGTAACCTTACTCAGGCGGCGGCGCGGGGCCTGCGTTCTGAATTCCCAGGGCTTCAGCAAAGGCCGCTAGGCCAGGTGACTGCTGGCTCACAAGCCCGGGCTGGGAGCCCAGGAAGCCTTTGGTCCTGGAGTCTCCTACCTACACCCTTGATAGAAAACCAGCTCCAGAGCTGTCCCCCACCCCCCCCCCCGGCCAAGACTTTACCCTCTAGGCTCCCGAGAGTGGTCCCCTCCTTAGGTCCTCAGGCTTCAATGACGTTTGTCCAAGGATTTTACCCAGCAATTGTTAACTGGGACCTCAGCGCCTTGAGTAAACAGGTCACGACTGAGGTGGCCCTGACCTGCTTCTCCAGCCACAGGGGGACCCCCAGGGTGTCTCTGGGCCTCCCTACAGAGCTCTCGACACCGATAGGGTGGGAGCCCCAGAAGGTGGGCCCGCAGCCTGGGGAAGAAGTCCTTCCCTATTCTCTAGGCCCGGTGCCCAGAGCGCAGGGCATCTCCACCTCCTGAAGTCATTGCTTAGATTGGCTGTACAGGTGTCAGCGTTAGCGGTGGGGACATGCAAGGCTCTGTCTTTGCCCTCCTCCTGCCTTTTCTGCCACCAGAGGGAAGTAGGGCCCCTGGCTGGGTTCCTTGGTGAGACTCGTGGGGGCCAGGAGCAGACAAGCAGGGTTGGACCAGGTGGGGCCAGGACTGTCTTACTCCCTTGACCTTACTCCAAGGTGCCGGGCTCCTTAGGGCCTGGCCCATTCTCATTGATTGCAGGAGGCTGAATCTAGGCAAAGATGGAGGGAGGGTGCTCCCCAGGGCCTAAGTTCGGGGACTGACCTCTCCTGGCAAGCAGAGGTTGGAATTAGCTTGACCAGGGGAAGGTGCATGGGGGAAAGCACGGTGGCCCAGCAGTTCCTCCAATTCCCACTTCCTCGGCTTAATGTTCTGCAGTAGCACATGCCTTCTTTCAAGGAGATATGGCGGGGCTGAGGTTGGCTCCACTATCCTCCGGGAGGCTGAATTACCTCAGGGAGCAGCCCTGAGCACACAGGATGATAGCTTGCGTGCGCATGTACATCTGGGCCCAGGATGCCGTGTACTTGTGGACACACACGTGCTGTTTTGGTGTGACATTGGACAGCAGCGGATAGGAGTCAAAGCCCATCAAAGTCAGCCTATCTCCAGACGGGGACACAGAAATGACCACCCCGTAGGTACCATGACTCAGGTCCGACAAGGATGGGGGCTGTTTTGCTCCTTGGTCAGAAAGGCATCTGTCCTTCACTGTCGACGCATTAATGCAGTCATTAAGCTCCTTCTGTGTGTCCCTCTGTGCCCAAGCTTCTAGCAATGCTCTGGGTAAACACAGCAGTCCTTTTATTTGGAGATGTCAAGGTTTGTTGTGTGGATGGGATGGTCCTCAGAGACCTTGAGCCACAAAGAAGCCCCGAGACTAATGGAGATTGCCTGGGGAGACTGGTCTTCAGTAGTACGAATGGTTATGAGTGGGGAAAGGACCAGCCAGAGGCTGCGCCCTGACCCTGGCTGGGCATGATGAAGAGTGGGACTCATATAAGCTGTCTGCTCTTCCCCAGTTTCCCCTTCCTGCCTCACCTCCTGTCTTAGTCTAAGCAGGGGCTTCCGGTGTGTGCACGCACATGCTTGTGGGTAGGGAGCAACAGTCCCGGAGCGGACACTCATGTGCAGACCCCTTCAGTGTGACACGTGGCTTGGGCATGGTTTGACCTCTCACAAATTTCAAGCCTCACGTTGACCGTGCGCTCGTGTTGATGGGGCAGGAGGAGTGAAGGGAAGGGGGCTTCCTGAAATGGAGCCCTAAGCTCTGTTCAGCTATTCTCACCTGCATAGAGCCTGGGCTGGTGTGTGTGTGTGTGTGTGTGTGTGTGTGTGTGTGTGTGTGGTATGGGGGGTGGTGGGAGTTAAAGTAGACAGCACAAGAACGTTTGCCGAAGCTGGACTTATTCAAAACAGAATTTGGCAAAAGGATGGCTCAGTAATTTAATTCTTGGGAAGGCTGAGTGTCGGGCTCTCACGGGGCCATCCTCACATCCCCGTGTGGGTATGCTGTCCTAAAACCCGTGCTCCTAGAATCAAGGGATTTTAGGAAAAAGGAAGGAATGTGCTATGGCTTGCCCCCAGGGCCATCAGTGACTCTGGGACATTCCAGCCCTAAGCCTCTTAGGCTGTGGAGAAGTTCAAACTAGAAAACCCAGTTTTTGGAGTCTATCAGGGACCACCTACCTGTTTCTGCCCCATCTAATACCCCCTCCCCAATAAAAGCGCTGGTTTTTTTTTTTTTTTTTTTTTTTTTTTTTTTTTTTTTTTTTTTTTTTTTGGTATACAAGCAATTACAGACACATAGTGCCCAGGTGGAAATCGGATCCACCTTGTAAGAGAGTCTGTCAGCTTCTCAGAAGCTCCCTGCCAACTGGAGTTTCCTTGAAGGGCAAGAATGTGCAGGAGTCCGGACTAGGGACGGGGCGGGACAGCTGGCTGCCAGGTACAATGGAAGAACCGGGCTTGGTTCTCTCCATGGCTGATACTGTCCGTGGCTCTCCAGGCCTGTGTTCACCCAAGTCGGCTACCGCACTTTCTGGTTCTGGATTGCCACTGAACGAAGGGAACGTGTGATGACCAAGAAAGCGGAGAGCCTTTGCTTCCACCCTCCCGGGGGACTGCGTTCTCGGGGAGAAGGGTGTAGGAAGCCTGTCTCAGAAGTTACCAGTTGCCCCCGTGGAAGGAAACCGCCTCATCTCCAAGCCCCACGCTCCCACCTTTTCACTCTGATGGTGGCACCAAGGCCCAAAGCCACAAGGGAACAAGCAGGGCCAGGGGTGTTCTCCCAGGCTGCCCTTGCTGCTGGTAGTTTTTGCCTTTACCCTAGACCTGGCAGTTTCCCTAGTCCTCCATCATTTGCAAGCGGACCGCAGAGGTCACAGAGATGCTAAGATAATATCTAAGCCTTTGCTTCTCATAAAAGTGGGTTCAATTTTTTTTTTTAAAGATTTTGGTGACTTCCTAAATCGGAAAATCTTGGGACTCAATATTTCAGCCTGAGATTCCAAAATCTCTACTGAAGTCGGAGGTGAGCCTGGGGGTGGGGGTGGGGGAGGCTTCTCCTCAGCCTTAATCCGCCTCAGTGTAGGAGACCGAATAATTTCAGAATTTGGAGACCCGGTTCTAGAGAAACGGTTGCGTGCTCGGGGATTCTGTGTCAACAGCCAAACCCGGGAGATAAGCTCAGGAACAACTTTATTGGACTCTCTGAGGAGTATTTGGGTTTTCTCTCAGGGAAGGAAAAAGCCCGCCCTGTGCCAGCGAGAGCAGGCCACCGTGGGCTGGGACACCCCTGAGGGTGGCAGCGGGACACCGCGGTCCAGGGTGAAGAAGTCGGGACTGCTGTCTGCTGCCTTTCGGCGGGCGGCATTGCTGCCCCAACGAACGAACGAACGAACGAAGCAGTTTCGTTTGGGGGAAAAATACCCTCTTGACGCGAAGCTATGCCCCGCGTCCCGAGCCATTCCCAGGGGTCAGCGTTTCCCTTCGCCGTGGGGCCCCGTCCCCGGCCGCGGGGGCTGCCGGCCCGCTCGCCGCCGGCCGCTGGCTGCCGTAGGCCCTCGAGCCCAGCGCGGCCGGAGGCTTCCAGGGTTGCGCCTTGGCGGTGCCCGCGCTTGCTCTCTGGGGGGCGTGGGGCCGAGGCACAGAGCGGGCCCACCCGTGGGTGAGTTAGCATCGGGAGCCGGCG